CGTCACCTGGTGGAGCCTGAGTAGGGCGGCTGGTGTCACCCTACACTGAGGAAGCCAATGCCAACCCCTGTCCCTAGCTGAGGGGCTGCAAATTACGACACTCCGGCTGAGAGAACCCAGTGGTCACTGCACCTCCTCTGAGCACTCTCACACTGTTTCACATCTCGTAGTGGGTGATGAGGGGATGAGGGTCCCAGGAACCTGCTTTGAAAGGCAGAACACACCCCCAGAGGCCCACTCTGCTGACACCTAGACGGTGCTACCGCCACTTCTGAGGGGACTGAGACTCGCACCCACTTCCATCAGGTTCCTTTCTGGACAGTTTGGTTTTCTTTTGATCACAGACATGCGTTGGTTTTCTGGAAACACACGTACAAACAGTACACACATGTGCACATGCACTCACACACAGATGAACACACACGTGTTCCTCCCCAGGGGAGGGTCCTATGGTCTTGCAGTGTGGAGGGGGCTGCTTGATGAGGGCTCTTCCATCAGACTCAGGAACACCCCACTCTGAGGGAGGTACCACAGGATGGAACGTGGTTCAGGACAGAGCCACCAGCAGCAAGGTGGTGTTGGTCACATCCCCACTTGGCTCATCTCCGGGGCCAGGTCCACCACCATCACATCCCCGTGATGCGGGGCTTATCCCGAGGTGTGGAGTGGCATGGCATGGCATGGCATGGCACAGCGGGGGGCGTAGCCAGGAAGTGAGACAGGGAAGGGAGCCTGGGGATCAGGGGATATGGGTCAGGGTGAGGAGGGGGCTGCACAGAGAGTGACACACACACACAGGTTGCAGGAGGCAGGGCTGGAGCCCTCTGGACTCTACTGTGATCCTTGTCCCAGAACAGGATGCAGGCTCTGGGAACCCTGGGGGCCCAACTTGGCACTGGTTACAATGTGCTCACCTGTGCAAGGTATGCCCGGTACAGGAAGACGTCCCGCTCCACGTCCCTCTCTGGGCTCGATGGCTGTGGAGACGAACATGAGTCAGTCAGCTGTCCTCAGCCCAGCACACCCACAGCCACAGTGTGGGGGGTGGTGCCCAGCTCCACATGTGCACTCCAGCTCTGTGGCCATGACCTCGCACACCATAAGAATGTCCTCAGCGGCCCCTGCATGAACAAGCCTCATCTCATTACCACACAGCCCAGAAGGCAAGGTTGTCAGTCCATCCTCACAGGTGAGGAATGGGGGCTCAAGCAGCTTGACACTCACAGGAGACATGGAGTACCCATACTGGACTGAAGTGCACACCCCCTAGCACCTGCACCCTCAGCACTGTGCCCAAGTGCACCCTCCCCCCAAGCCCATGTCCTCAGCAATGAGAAGCTGCTGGATCACACAGCCCTTCCTGTGGCTACGGTACATGATGCCCATATACGCTGGGGTCTGTAGAAACAGAGGACCCCATGGAGGTCAGGAGCAGAGGGAAGTTTGGAGGTTGGGATCCGGAAGGACTGGGCCACGTGAAGACTGGAAGGCCTTGTGCTTTTGTAATGAGCACCCTGTGGTCATTTGGAACAGGACAACCAGATTATCTTCCTTTTGTTTCAAAACTTCCTTCAGATGTGTCCGGCAGAGGTGAAGGAGGTTTGTCTGCTCAGAAGTCCATACGGCCATGAGATAACCTGTCCTAGAGAGGTCAGCTTGGCCTCTCAGCTGTGACTGAGGCCATAAGGACTGCCATGTACTGAGGGGTGGATCTGCCAGTCACACCACTTGGGCCCAGCCACTGCTGAGAGCCCAGGGGTGGTGAGTGGTGACCTCACGAGACATTCTGCAGGAGGAAACACCTGTCCTGGGGGATAGCCCCTGCTGATGTCCCAAAAACCTTGTGCAGCCAGAACAGGTAGGCACAAGTAGCTGGAGCCACTTGGGGGCTCGGAGAGGCTAGTGTGTGGAATAGGGACCTGGCCAATGAGGGGTCACCAAGCCGACATTTCAAGCCACAGATCCCAGGAAACTGCACAGGGAAGATGAGGTGTTCCACCTCAAAGGCACAGGGACCCGAGGGTTGGTACCAAGTTTTGGGGTGAAATCAAGACTGCCCTACCCCTAGATTCCACACATGCTCCCTTCTCCCCTGGCCTGGAGGGATGCCGAGGCACAAGTGCGCCCCCTGCTCTGGCCCAGATGCCCAAGCTACCCTCGTGCCGCCATCATCGCAGTTCCCAACAGCTCTACTTCAGCCTCCGTGGCCGGGATGCGGGGCTGCACGACACGCGGCATATGGTGTTTTCCAAACAAGTGTCTCAAGTGACCCGCAGAGAAGTCAGAGCAGATGGTTGTTCCAGCCTCCCCAGAGACACACGCTGACTGGTTCTCGGGGTCAAGGACATAACAAGTGCTGTGCGGAAGCAAGGCCTCAAGCCCTGGAAATTCAACTTGGCCTCAGCTGCCCCATCTGTAAATTGGATCCCTAGCAGACCCATAGGAGCTCTGGTAGCGTAGTGGCTAAGGCACTTGACTGCTAACCAGAAAGCTAGCGGTTCAAACCCACCAGCCAGTCCTCAGAAGGAAGATGGGGCAATCTACTTCCATAGTGATACCGCCTCGGAAACCCAAGAAGAGGTCGCTATGAGTCGGTTCCGACTCGACGGCACATAACAACAACAAGCAGACCCATAGGTTGGCTGAGGCAGCAACACCCGCACGTGGAAGCACCCAGGGTGGCTCCATCGAGCAACAGGAAGGAGGCCGGGGAAGGCAGGAAAGCACGAGGGGAAGGGCAGAACCTGCTGGCAAGTGCTCAGAGGTGTCAGGTGTGCAGAAGCAAGAACAGCAGCTTTCTGAACAAGTGCTCCGTGTTGCCCTCTGCTGGGACAGCCTGCTATGTGCTCCTCAGTATCTTCCACTGGGGACACCCCAGCTTTAACAGGTGGCACCGTGAAGCTGAAGGGTCTGTGGTTCACGGGGGCAAGACTATAGCATCACTGCTTTCCCCAACGCTCCCAGGTGGGAAGTGCCGTCCCAAGGAGTCTGCAGGTGCAGCGAGGGAAGGCCTAGAGAGACCCACGTGCACATGTGATAGTTGGCACCAGGGGAGCCAGGAGCTCATCCCATCACCCGCCACCTGGAGGCGCACAGGTCCTGCCCTACCCTGTTCACCACTGTGCTTTCCTGGCTCACCCTAGAGCAGCCACACCAGCCTCTCTGCTCACCACCCTATGCTCATCTCTGCCCTCGCACCTGTCCCCTTCCTGTCCTCAATGCCCAGAATGCATTTTCCCCAGATCTTTCCAGGGTGAGAATTTTCTGAAGAATCAGCCTCAGGTTCAGACGGCGCTGTCCAGAAGGTCTGGACAGAGAGGACTACTTCCACGAGAAACAGAGCCACAGGTACTACTTTTCACAAGCTGCAATTACCGTTTTTGGGGACACAAGACTGTAAAGGCAGACAAAGCCCCTGCCACATTCACTCTGCTTTAAAGGCCTACCCTCAAAATAACATCAAAGTCCACACTCCTTCCTAAAAGGCCCTGCCGCTCCTTCTCCTATCACTCACCTCACTCACTGAGCCCTGCCACACTGAAGTATTTTCTAGCCTTCAAACAGCCGACCACCAGGCACGTGTCAGGGTGCTGTACTGAGGTGGCTTGTGTGTTGCCATGATGGTGGAAGCTCTGCCACCAGTATTTCAAAACTTAGCAGGTGGACAGGTTTCAGCAGTTTCCTGACTAAGGCAGACTAGGAAGAAAGACCTGGCTACCTACTACTGAAAATCAGTCAATGAAAACTCTATGGGTCACAATAAACCACTGCCCCATACAGTACTGGAAGATGAGCCCCTGAGTTGCTTGTTGTTGTTGTTGTTATGTGCCGTCAAGTCAAACCCGACTAGGCACTCAAAATGCCCAGTGGCCACAACAAAGGGCTCAAACACACCAACGTTTTATCTTGCTATACAGGGTTCACTACTTCCTGTTGCTGAACTTGTCTGCCGTCTGTCTCTGGTTTATTGCTCCTACTCCAGTAAGAATATATTCCTTGGCCCTTTCAGATCCTCAATGAATACCTGAACGAATGAATGGGCGAACTTCAGCACAAATAACGGAGCTAGTCGGCAGAGTAATATTTCGGGAAAGCCACCGACTCTCCGTGCCTCAGAGTGCTCGTCTGTAAAATAATGATAAACAATATTCCCTCCCTCATGAGTGTGGAGTTTGGCTCTCCCGCCCCCATGAGTACAGAGGGTACGACGGACCCAGTGTGCGCGCCTGACAAAAATTACCATGACTACTAGCACTAAAATAGAATAAACATATCCTTCACTCGAATGGCTTATGGGGCGTACAGCGAGCGCTCTACGAACATGAATGATTACAGCTTTAGATTTTGGAATAAAACATGTTAATTCCTCGCTGCGCTCTTAAGAGATGAGTGGTGGGAATATACTACGAGAAGAGGGGAAATGTTTAAAAGCTGAGAGGCGCCACCAGGAAGCGGCTGCCGCCTCCATCCCCAGGGTTCCCCCAGCCCCGGCGCGGCCGCACCTTCACCCGCTGCGCTTCGTTGATGCACTGCTGGTAGCTGCCGATATAGAAGGCGTTCTTTACGTCAAACAGCTCGTCCACCTCCCCGGTAGCCGGACCGGGGACCGGAGGCGCCATATTGCAATCGTCTCACCCGCTTCTCTTTCCGGACGGACACGTCGGCCGGAAGCAGGGCCCTCCATGGAGCACGCCGGGAAATGTAGTTTACTCGTTTCGAGTGTCAGGAAGATGAGGCATTTGGGAGGCTTGTATACAGGGCGTAAAGGAGGTACGCAAGCATGCATCTTGGGAGTTGTAGTTTAACTCTAGACTGAGCGCCGATGGGATTATGGGGAATGTAGTGAGGCAGCTGTCGAGGCCGGGAACAGCAGGGTGAGCTAGTCGCTCTACCGGAGTGAAGGGATCATACAGAAGGCGGGTTTATGAACCGAAAGTCTTCAACGTCATCGGCGCGCGCCGGAAGGACGGCTCACAGGGGTCCCGCGGATGGCGGCTAGAATGGCGTGTTTCGCAGAGCTAGGGCTGTCATCTTGGCTGGTGGAACAATGTCGGCAGCTGGGTTTGAAACAGCCTACGCCTGTGCAGGTCGGCTGCATCCCCGCCATCCTGGAAGGTGAGTGTGCGAGCCGCTTTTCCAGGAGGCATCTCCTCTTCTTTCAGCCTCTTTCCCCTTTTTGTAGCCTTTGCCCACGCAGGTTCCACGAGGTGAGGGGCAGCCCTGGGCGTTCCAGGCGACTCTGTACTGCGGAGGCCGACAGGGCGGTGTTGCCGTTCAGGCTGCCTAGCTGACTCGCTGTGCGTCCGCAGACAAGTGATGTAATCTCAGGGAGGGTTGATGAATAACTAAGCGCTGGTGCCATGGAAAATAGACATATCTGGTACGATTCTCTTCATTGCAAACGAGGAGTCTGAGGCTGTCAGAGGGAGCTCTGGTGGCGTAGTGCCTAAGGCGTTTGACTGCTAACCAGAAGGCTGGCGGTTCAAACCCACCAGCCACTCCTTGGAAGGAAGGTTGGGCAATCTACTTCTGTAGTGATACCGCCTTGGAAACCCAAGGATAGGTCGCTATGAGTCAGATCAGACTCGATAGCAGTGCGTGAGGCTGTCCGAAGTAGTGATCAATCCAGGACTCGGTGGTTCTCTGACTGCTCTTCTTTCTGCTCTTGTGGCCCAGCCGTTTTGCCATTAAAGAGCTTTTCAGCTTCAGATGCCTCCAGATCTCTCTTCAGTATGGAGCTAAAATGTATTGACAGCTGCTAGTGCTGGCCCTGTGTTTGATTTTGGGGACATTGCAGAGACCAAACAGACTGATGTCCCGCTCTCAGGAATGCTACAGTGTGACACGGTTGAGGGATTGAAAGGAGAGAGAAAAAAAAGCTGAAAGGATCAACAAGTATCATAGAATGCAGGTTGGAGCAGGGAATCCTGGGTCTGGAGAGAGTCTGAATAAGATGGTGGTTAGCAGCCCAGTGTCTCCAGTCGACCTGGGTTCAGTCCAGCCCTACTACTCACCAGTTGTGTGTCTTGGACAGGTCTCCAAGACTCAGTTGCCACTTTTGTTAAATGAGGGCAGTAACAGCCTCTCCCTCATGGGGTTATAATCAATATGACTTGCGTGGAAAAGTATAGACTGGAGACTGCTCATTAAGTGTTCCAGTAAGAAAAGCATTTGCTGTAGAGGTGGCTCCCACTGATGGCAGCCTATTTGTCAGAGTAGAATTGTGCTGCAGAAGATTGTCTTTTTTTGTGTGTTGTCATTTGGATCAACGTTTACAGAGCTAACTCGTTTTTCTGTCAACAATTTATACACACTTCGTTTTTTGACATTGATTGCAATTTGCACAATGTAACAGCACTCTTCCCACTTCCTTCCTGTGTTTACCATTTCTTGTCCTCTTTCTTTCCTATCCCTCCTGCTTTCTGAGCTTTATCCCTGGGCAAATGCTCCTTTTCAGTCTCATATGGTTGATTTTCTGATGATGGCATCCTTCCCTGTTATCATTCACCTTATAGGCCTGTCTACTAGAAGGCTGGCAGTTCAAACCCACCAGCCACTCCTCAGAAGGAAAGTTGAGCAATCTACTTCTGTAGTGATACTGCCTCAGAAACACAAGGAGAGGTCACTGTGAGTCGGGTCCAACTCGACAGCGATCCGTTGCATTGTTGTTGTTATCATTGGCTGAAAGTTGAGCCATGGCGTTGAGTTCAGCTCCTGCCATGAAGGGTATCTAAGGGCCATAGTCTCAGGGGTTCTACCAATGTCTATCAGGCCGGTAAACCTGGTCATTTTTATGATTTTGAATTTTGTTCCATATTTTTCTTCCACTTTTTCAGGGACTTCCTATTGTGATCCCTTTCAGAGTGGGCCACAGTGGTAGCCGGGCACCATCTAGTTTTCTGGTCTTCGGTTCATGGACGCTGGTGTTCCCATGGTCCATTAGTTTTTTGGACTCGTCGTTTCCTTGCATCGTTGATTTTCTTCATTCTTCTTTGCTGTGGACAGGGAGACACCAATAGTTGTATCCCAAGGCTTCTCCGTGGCTGATTTGTGGGAAGTAGATCACCACGCCTGTCTTCTGGGGCATCTCTGGGTGGACGCAAGCCACCGCCATTTTGATTAGCAGCCGAGCAGGTTCATTTGTTGCACCACCCAGGGACTTCCGTTTAGTGTGAGCTGCTGTAAAGTGTCCCGATGGAACCCTTTGTCTCCCTCTGGAGGTGTTGATGCTACTCTGCCCTCTCCTAGGTCGAGACTGCCTGGGCTGCGCCAAGACTGGCAGTGGCAAGACAGCGGCGTTTGTCCTGCCCATCTTGCAGAAGCTGTCTGAGGACCCCTACGGCATCTTCTGCCTCGTCCTGACACCCACCAGGTGAGCCCCTTGGATGAGAGTTAACCAGCCGTGTGCTCTTGGGCAAGTGCCTGTACTTCTCTGAGCTGCACTTTCCCGTGCGTGAAAGGAGACAGAGACCGTGTCTGCCTGTTAGGAAAGCTGCAGAAGGAAACAATGTGGTATGTGGACAGTGCTCTGTGTAGGGCTAGGTCAGGTGAGCACCAGCCGGACAGTCTTGTAGCCCAGGGAGTAGACAGGTCTGTCATCCTTAGGCAACCCAAGGCCTTGGCAGACAAACATAGCAGTTAGTTTGAAAAGACAGGATAAGTCCTATAATGGTATTGCCTGCTTTGGGGGCCTGGACCCATAGAGTATCTAATTCTAACTGAGGAGGGAAGATGAACAAGGCTTCATTGAAGAGTTCCTTAACAGATGAAGTAGGTCTCTCAAAGGGACAAGTGTGGGGAGCAGCATTCTAGAACAGGGTGCTGCCAGTGTCCACATGAGAGAAGCAGGGGACAGAAAGGGTAATGGGCACTGTGCATGTTAGACCCAACTCAAGAAGGACCTCAGGTGCCAGGCTAAAGGTTTAGCATTGGCTCTGAGGGCATGTGAGCAGGAGCGGGAGGGGCCCGGGGAAAGGAGCCCTGGGTATGCCAGGGCTGTGCGGACACCTTGGGACTGAGCAGCCCTGCTCAGGTCTCTGGCTCGGGTGACTGGTGGCAAGGCCATTGCTCAGAGGGCACCTGGAGATGGTACAGGTTTGGGGGAGGCTTGGGGGGGGGGGAGGCATAGGATGTTCTGGGGCCTCACACACTTGGCATCAGGGCATGGGGAGCCCAGAATCTGGGGGCTCTGGGGGAGGCCCAGGGGTGGAGGTAGACATGAGAGGCAAGGGCAAGACCTCTCCTGACCCTCTCGGTCCCTTCACACCCACAGGGAGCTGGCCTACCAGATTGCGGAACAGTTCCGGGTCCTGGGAAAGCCTCTGGGCTTGAAAGACTGCATCATTGTTGGCGGCATGGGTATGTGGGTATGGGGGCCAGGAAGGCTCTGGAACAGGACTCTGCAGCCCCTCCTACCCCCTGGGTTCCCACCCACCTGCCTCACCTCTCACCATCTGCCCGCAGACATGGTGGCCCAGGCACTGGAGCTCTCTCGGAAGCCACATGTGGTCATTGCCACACCAGGGCGCCTGGCCGACCACCTCCGCAGCTCCAGCACTTTCAGTATCAAGAAGATCCGCTTCCTGGTGAGTCAGCCACACCACCTGTGGTCCTGGAGCTGGATAAGACCTTGTAAGACCATCGGGACATGGGGCAGCTCTGGGCCTAGTTGGGGATGGAGGGGTGGCACCTCACACAGGAGGTGATGCTGGGAACCCTGAGACTGAGCAGGGTAGGAGGTGGGTACAGGGCCTCACCAGGCTCCCATGCAGGTGCTGGATGAGGCAGACCGCCTGTTGGAACAGGGCTGCACAGACTTCACTGCAGACCTGGAGGCCATCCTGGAGGCAGTGCCAGCCCAAAGGCAGACACTGCTGTTCAGTGCCACACTGACCGACACTCTCCGTGAGCTGCAGGGCCTGGCCACCAACCAGCCCTTCTTCTGGGAGGCACAGGCACCGTGAGTCCCAGCTGGTGGAGTGGGGTGGGGGTCAGTCCCCATGTAAAAGGCAAGACTGAGGCCTGGCAGCCCACCCACTCCCCCCAGAGTCCGCACGGTGGAACAGCTGGACCAGCGATACCTGCTGGTACCTGAGAAGGTAAAGGATGCCTACTTAGTGCACCTGATCCAGGGCCTCCAGGACGAGCATGAGGATTGGTCCATCATCATCTTCACCAACACCTGCAAGTGAGTGCACCATGCCTTAGCCTCTGCCCAGACCAGCAGGTCCCAAGGGCTTTTCTCAAAACGAGGTTCCCAGGTGGGATGATTTGCTGAGGTCACTGGACCTGAGGAGTCTGAGCAGTGTATGTTGTGAACATGCTCAGCTGCTGAGGGGTTGGAGGTTTGAGTCCAGGCAGGTGCCTCAGAAGAAAGGCCGGGTGATCTATTTTTGAAAGATCAACCCTGGAAAATCCTGTGGTGTGTAGCTCTGGTCTGCTGCATGGGGGTTGCCCTGAGTTGGGGTTAACTCAACAGCAACTGGTCAGTTGTTGGTGTGGCTGCCCTGGACTCCGCTGTTCTGCCCTGAAGCACAAGGGCTAGGCCATCTGGGGATCCCCTGCAGCAGCGAGGGGGCAGCTCAGACCAGCAGCCACTACTCGCTGTAGCCTGTGGTTGTCACTAAGCCATGCTGGGCCTCCCAGGCCTATCTCAAGGGAGCTGTGATGGTTGGCTGAGACCCCATAGGCATCAGCCCCCAACACCCAGGGCTGTCATGTTGCCACATTGGCCCCATGTCACAAGCGATCCCCCCAGGAAGGTCCCACTGGCTCTTTGCTTAGGCGTTCAGGAGATAGGGGGCAGGGTGTCATGAATCTATGGGCTGGGCTATTCCTGTGTGAGCCAGACAGGAGGGCAGAGGGCAGAGGGCAGATGGGTGTCATACTAGAGAGGCCTCGGCATGGCTGTAGCCCTCCTAAGAGATTGTTCCCAGGGTGAAGGTATCAGCTCGCCAGAACTGAGAAGACTGGGTATAGGGCAGGTGTCAGGTATGGTGGGATCCAGCAGCTCACATGCTATTACCATCATTTCTGTCTGTCTGGCCTTTCTGGTGACAGTGACTATCCTCAGCCTCCCAGCCCCACAACCCCAGCAGAAGGAGCCTCCATCCCAATCACAGTCAGAGTGGCAGCCCCAGGATTGCTTAGGCTCTGGGAGCTGGAGGCAAGCTCAGCAGAGAGCATGCCACACGGGCAGGCCTGTGTAGGTAGGGTGGGAGGGGCTGACAGGAACCGTCTTTCCCTCCAGGACCTGCCAGATCCTGTGCATGATGCTCCGCAAGTTCAGCTTCCCCACTGTGGCACTGCACTCGATGATGAAGCAGGTGTGCTGCTCAACCCACTCAGTCTTTCTCACGGGATTCCCTTTCTCTCCCAGTCCACATCTCCTGTTGTCTACTGGACCTTCATTGTAGCATTTGTCCTGGTTTGGCCTTCCTATGAGCCCTGTGTGGACAGGGCTATCCTGCCCCTACCCTGTCCTTACACAGGATGTACCCACACATTGCTGAGAGCCTTCTTAACCCTACTTTCCCCTCCCTGGTGCAGAAAGAACGCTTTGCTGCCCTAGCCAAATTCAAGTCCAGCATCTACCGGATACTGATAGCAACAGATGTGGCATCCCGGTGAGTGGTCTGGGGCCTGGCTCCACCCCTACCCAGGGTACTTCCTCCCTGAGTTGGTATTGGGCAAGTCCCAGCCTCCACCTCCCCTGCCTAGATGCTTAGCTGCCCAGCATCTCCCTCTAGGGGCCTGGACATCCCCACCGTGCAGGTGGTCATCAACCACAACACCCCTGGACTCCCCAAGATCTACATCCACCGTGTCGGCCGCACAGCCCGTGCAGGTGAGCCCTAGGCCCCACTACTCCCTGTCACTCCACCCCTGTCCCCTTACCCATCACTGCTGTGAATGGGTTTCTGAGCCCCAGCAGGTATGATGCTGCCACATGGGATTTGGCATCTAGGTTTGGGCCTCGACTCAGACTTTCTGTGACACCCTCTCACTGCCCCCATCCCCAACCCAGGAGACATTCATATGTCTGCTCCCCAGCCCACTGGCAAGGGGCACGGGTGTTGCAAGAGATTCTCTCACACCAGAAGTAGGGGCAGACAAGGCCCAGCTCCTCTCTCCTGATCCCGCTGCCTCAGGCACGTGATGGGCATTGAGAACAGTGGAGCCTCCTGGGGCTGTTCTGAGAATCACACAGTTGAATCCCACAAAACAGCCTTTCAGCTGTCAGTGCTGTTTCAGAGCTAGTCACTTCCCAGAAATACGCTAAAAAGATATCGAGTACAGGAATCCAGATTGAGGCGCTCAGGGCTTATTGCTAATTTCACGTGGGCTCCCTGGCAGCCATGCCAAAAAGGGAAAGTAGTGTATTGGCACTCCAGCAGGGTGTGGCAGGCTGGGTAGGCAGAAGACAGACCCTGGGACAAATATGCACGTGGATGTTAGATCAGGGGTGAGCCCTGACTCTAGGGGTTTTTTGTTTTTTTTTTAACTTCCCTCCCCTTCGAGATGCCTGGCACTGGGCCCCTGCCTTCTGCCCACCCATGTCCCAGTCACGGCACATAGGTGATTGACTGTGGTGCCCCTCCCCCCAGGGCGGCAGGGCATGGCCATCACGCTGGTGACACAGTATGACATCCACCTGGTCCACGCTATCGAGGAGCAGATCAGTGAGTCAGGGTGAAAGTGGGTGGCAGACCCATCACACTGGGCCTCTTTCCCTGGACTCCTCCGACCCCGATCTCTCCCACCTGACCCTTGTCTGGTGGGCCCCAGGGCCTTGCTACCACTGCACACCTTGCATGCCCCACCACACAGGGAGCTCACTCCCACTGTGGTACTCTCCCTATCGTGTCCCCAGAGAAGAAGCTGGACGAATTCTCAGTGGAGGAGGCAGAGGTGCTACAGATCCTCACGCAGGTCAATGTCGTGCGGCGAGAATGTGAGATTGTGAGTTGGGATTTGGGCAGATGGACAGGGGACTGGTCCCTCTAGGTGGCCCCTGTAACCACCCTCTCCCTCCCCCAGAAACTGGAGGCAACCAACTTTGACGAGAAGAAGGAAATCAACAAACGGAAACAGCTAATTCTGGAGGGGAAGGTGAGGCGTTTGGCAGTGGAGGAGGGCCAGGATTCTTGGGTGGGTATTCTGCTCACTGCCTCTGGTTCCCCACACGCAGGACCCTGACCTAGAGGCCAAGCGCAAGGCCGAGCTGGCCAAGATCAGGCGGAAGAATCGGCGTTTCAAGGAGAAAGTGCAGCAGACGCTACAGAGGCAGGCAGCCAGCAGGGGGTGCCCACCCAAGGCCCAGCCAAGGTCCCATGCAGCCCCACCCACGCAGGGTCCTGCCTGAGTCCCTCACGGCCCCCTGCACCCCATCCTGAGTGCGCCTTGGCTCCCACCTGCCTAGGCCCACCTGGGACTCCTTCATTGAGCGGAGGGCCTGAGGGACTTGTCCAGGCACCCAGAACTCTCTCCTGGGCACACCATCCCTCTGGCCCTGCTGGTCCCCTCAGGGACCACTCCAGCTGGTAGCCCATGACCTCTGCTCTGTGGCCCCAGGTCAGCCCATGAGCTCTGAAGTTGGACCAGACTCCACATATGGATGACCTCAGCCTGGGGTCCCCTGTGATCTCGATTTCTCCCTTTATTATGAGTGGGGTTCATCTCACCTCACAGTTTGTGAGCCTCCAGGATGACATGTGTCACATACAGGAGGTACTCAATGAATGTGCCTTTTGCCATCTGTGGTCTGATTCTCTGGGTTTGGGAACAGGGAGTAGGGTGTTGTCACCTGTGTGTCTCAAGTGCCCAGAAGGTCCTCCCCACCATCCCCTCACGGTTCACCATTCCCAGCAGGTCAAGCCCAAAGCCGGGAAGGCAGACAACCAGCAAACCACAGTGCTGGCCGTTCTGCTGCCAGGCTTCAGAGCAGAGATGCCCCCACTCGGGGCCTGCTTCCTTGTCTCAGCACCACTGTGAGGTTTCAGTGAGGTCACCTTGAAGAGGTGCCCAGTGGACACAGCTGTGTTCTGATAGCTTCTATGCCCACCAGCCTGACACATCTGGGGGTTGTGGCATGTCCTGTTCTCCATGCAAGACAGTATGCTGAGGAAGCCATTCCCTCAGCATGGACTTGGCAGAAACAGTGATCAGGGTCAAAGTGGTGGGGACACGTGGGCTGAGTTTAAGGGGATGGGGCTGCAGTGCCAGGTGAAGCTAGGCATCTGGCTGTGGTGGTCCCCTAGCTTCCCTGTCACCTACGGGAGCGTGGCCTGAGCACCACGGCACAGGGTGGCAAAGTGTACCATGGGGAGGTGGGGAGGGGCAGCACAGCGTTTAGATCCCACACACCACACACGCAGCCACACTTGGAAGTATAATCTGGGTGCTAACACACACCCCAGAATTCTAGAAACTACAAATGAAAAGCTCAAAAATTTCTTCAAGCTGTGAGCAGCCAGGGCCGACCTGGGCCCTCCAGTTCCTGCCAAGGCAGTGGGGCCCTGATTGCTGCCCGAGGCCTGGACCGCACCCTGGGAATCGTCCCATACAGAACCAGCCCCGCCAGCCATCTGGCAGCCAGCTCAGGGTGTGCCCTCTGCCAGGCGGGCCAGGCCTTCCCGCAGCTCGCTCAGCTCGAATAGCTTGACGTCCAGCAGCTGTGTAGCCCGCACCACCTCAGCCCGGGCCCGCTCCCGCTCAGCCCGGGCCTCCTCCAGGCTGTGCTCTGACATCCGCAGCTGATGTTCCAGTTCTGCGTTCCGAGTCTCCAGGTCCTGTGGGGAGAGGGTGGAAGGTGGGGACTCTACCCCTGTCCCCAGAACCCCTTCCCCTTCCCTTTGCTCCTGACTCTACCCCCATTTTCCCCTCCGGTTTCTGGAATGTGCCAACCTCTGTGCACCTCAGACTCTTGGCATGTGTGTTCTCTGCCCAGGAGACAACAGGCAACATTTCTGCAACTTCTCTCCCCCAGGATCCTTCGGGGGACACCAAACCCTTTACTACATCCATGTGCTAGGCTCACAGACGTGCCCCCTAAACATTCTTAGGGTGAAGGCGAAAGCCAGGCCAGTCACTTGTTAGCTGCCATCAAGTCACCCCCGATTCATGGTGACTCCACGTGTACCGAGGAACTGCTCCATAGGGTTTTCAATGATTGTAACCTTTATGGAAGCAGACTCCCAGGCTTTATCTTCTATAGCCCTGCTGGGTGGGTTCGAACCTTTCAACCTTTGGGTTAATAGTAGAGCACAAACTACTCGCACCACCTGGGCTCCTTAGGCCAACCAGACCTGGGTTCAAACGCAGGCACCATGATCTCAGGCTGGGGACTGTGAGGATTTGAGGAGGCTGCCCATCCACCTGCCCACCCCACACACCTGCACCTTCTGTTGTGTCTCATCACGCTCAGCAGCAGCATCTGGGGTCTCCCGGGGAGTCCCCGTCTGGCTCTTCAGTGTCTGGATCTCCTGGAGGGAAGAAGTTGGCTCTGAGGTTCTGGCTCCCCCGAGAGCACTCAGGGAACCCAAGGCCAGGAGATACTCACCTGGTCCTTGGTTTGCACTAACACCTCCAGCTGCTCCCGTGACTGCCCAGGCTCCTTCTCGCCCACTGCAGGCTGCTCCACAGCTGCCTGGACCTCCAGCTCAGCCACCTGTGTAGACAAGAACTGAGTCCTCAAAGCCCCAGGATGCCCCAGCTGGCACTCCCCTGACCCCTGGGGCAGCCTCTTTCTGCTCTCCCCCTGGTTGGGGTCACCATCCCACACTTCTGGACGCTTAGATGGTGGGGTCTGATGCCCTCCAAGTGGGTGTTGTCTCAGACTCATCTGACAGAGCTAGACACTGAGAATAGAACGCTGGAGATGGTGACCTGCTGGCGAACCTAGCACAGAGGCCGCGCTGAGGCGGGAGTTCCAGAGGTTCCCAGGATAGAAGAGGTCTGGGAGGATCTGGGCCCTCACCCGCTGCCTCAGCCGCTCCGCCTCTACGCGCTGAACCTCCAGCTGTTGCCTCCACTGCGCGGCCGCCGCGTTGGCCTCTCGCAGAGCGCCCGCCAGCTTATTGTTGCTGTCCTGCAGCGCGAAGAACTCGGCCTCCCACTGCACCTCGCCCACGGAACTGCAGGGACGCGATAGGGGTAGGTGGGGGCAGGTCTAGTGCCGAGCTGGGTTGGGGGCGGGGCCATAGGGCGCCCCCTGTTGGGAGCTGGACTGCAGCCAGTCAGAGATCAGTCTGCGCAGCGTTCAGGACCTGAATAGGGCCAGGGAAGTGCCCAAGGGCGGGGCCAGGGCGGTGCGGTGCTGAGGTCAGGAGCAGGGACATCCCTGAGGGGCAGGGTCTTGTTAGGGCCGCGGACAGCCCAAAGAGCGGAAGAGGGTAAGGAGGGGCCCAGGGGTTCAGCCCAGGTAGGCGTGGTCAGGACAGGGCGGGGCTAACCACGAGGAGTGACTGAGGCAGGAGAGAGGACATCAGGGGGTGTGGTCGTCAGGAGATTGTCGAATGTGGGGACGGGTTCCGTGAGAGGGGTACGGTCAGCCTTCCCCAACTCCCCAGGCCTTGGGTCCAGAGTCAGTTCCTGCCGCCCTCAAGTCCCTGGAACCCTTCCCGCCCCTCGCTCTGGCCACTTCCCATCCCTGGCCACGCCCTCTGCCTGCCGTCTAGTCCCTCCCCTTCACCCTATCCATGCCCTGCCCTTGCTCAGCCACGCTCTCGGCGCCCAAATCGTTCATTTAGCCCCGCCCCTTCACCTGGCCCCGCCTTCTGTGCCAATACCTGTCTTCTAGCTCCGCCCCCTCTCCAAGCCCTGCTCATTTCCCCTCACCCCTCCGACAGCATCTTCTTGAGCCGCTCGCGTTCGGTGGGGCCGGGGGCATCTGCGCTCTGGCTGCGGAATAGCTTCTCGTCGCTGGGGGGGCCATTGGCACTGACGAGGGGGGTTGGCGGCACCTGTGGGAGGGGGGAGGGTGACGGTGAGGGGTGACTTCCAGCTGATCAATGCTGAGTTAGGGGAATGGATCATGGTTGGGATCAGGGTCATGTCACTTGAGTCCTGACTTCAGTCAGGAGGCTTGAATTGAGATGTGGGAAACTGTGGACCCCAGACAGTCCTCTCCAGCCCTGAGGTCCAGCTGCTCCCCTTCTTTCCTATCCCATTCTCCATGGTTCTGGGCCCAAGTCCAGGGCCTTGTCCCCCTCACCAGCCTGGCCTCATTGCCTGGAGGCAAACCTGAGGCAGTCTAGTTTAAACCCACTGAAATGGTCAGTTTTCAAAAAGGAAGCACTCTGAAACCACCATGCTATTTCCTCCTAGTGATGCCCTTCCCTGCAACCAAAGACCAAACTCCATTTAAGACTCCCAGGAAGTACCACTGTCAACCACTTGGAAAGGGATCAGTGCAGGAGATCCTGGATAGAGTGGGAGAACGATGTGAAACAAAACTCAAAATCACGAAAAAAGACCAGGTTTACTGGTCTGATAGAGCCTGATGAGACCCCCAAAACTATAGCCCTAGTCACCCTTCAGGTCTTGAAGTCCCTTCAGGAATTGAATTCCTTCTGTTGGCTTCCAGCCAAACAATTGATAGGCGTATAGTGTGAATATTTACATCAGATAGATACACTCCTAGATTGATCAATCCTGGGAGAACAGAAAGGCAGTATTCGCACAAGGAGATAGCTGGGGGGAGGGGAAGGAATACATGGGTAACTGCAGGGAGGAAGAGGACAGGGGCTCAGCCTACATTCTCATCCTGCACTCCCGTGCCCCGGGTGCCCAGTCCCAGGCCTGGCACAGTTCATTCATTGCTCTGCACCCTCCTTAGCCTTTTCAACTTCCAGTTTGCAATTCTGTTTAACAGCTTGAGCACCCAGGGACACAGGCACCATGTGTCTGAGCTAATTTCTGTTACTCCCACCTATTGCGTACCTTCCTTGACTCTGTGCCAGGCTAGGCTCCCAATGGCACACTCCTGTGACACCCACTCTGACTTCCCCCTCTCTGATCCCTGCCATGCATCTAGTTTTGCATCATCTGTGTGTATTGGGTCCTGGGCACTGCTGAGTCTCCCACACGCAGCACAGTGTCCAGACCCCAAATACAATTTGACTGGCTCAGGGGCATCTGGGCAGTGTAGGGGTTACTGACCTGGTGGGAGGCAAGCCCCAGGGCTGGGCTGGTGAGCTCTCCCCCATCCTGAGACTTCTCCCGGGCAAGCCTAGCTGCTTCCTTCACTTCTTGGAACTTCTCAGCAAACTGGGGGAGGAAGGGACAACAGAGAGTCAATCAACAAACCCTCAGTGCCCTCCCTCATGGGCTGACCCATCAGGTCACCCCCACCCAGCATTGGTCAGATCTGAGTGGATCTTAGAACTGTACCCAACCCCTCATTTACAAATTGGAAGTGGAGAGATGACTTGGAAAAGGATGCCACAAACAGCAGAGTGGGGATTGTGGCAAGGTGTCTACCTAAACCAAAAAAACAAACTCATTGCTTTCAAGTTGGATCCAACGCATAGCGACAACCCCTCCTTGGGTTTCCGAGGTGGTATCACTACAGAAGTAGGTTGGGAACCTTCCTTCTGAGGAGTGGCTGGGGGGTTTGAACCACCAGCCTTCTGATTAGCAGTCAAATGCCTTAAGCACTATGCCACCAAAGCTCCCAGGTCTATGTGGTATTAAATACAGTGAGCTACCATGTAGAAGGGGCCTTGTTTTTCCTCTCTGTCAGGCTTATTTCAACAAGGAGAGTCTCAGTTTGGTGCTAATTTGTCCTTAATGCCTGGGACACTTGTTAATATCCCTTTATAACAAAAAGGGAGTCAGTCCCTGGGTGGTACAAACAGTTAAGGAGTTCAGCTGCTAACTGAAAGGTTGGAGGTTGGAATCCACAGAGAGGTGCTTCAAAAGAAAGGCTTGACAATTTACCTCCAGAAAATCAGCCACTGAAAACCCAAGGGAGCACAGTTACACCCCAGCGCACGTGGGGTCTCCGTGAGTCAGACTCAGCTTGCTGGTAACCAACAACAGTAACAACCAGGGAGAGCCCAGGAGGTACAAAAGGTGAACGTGCTCAGCTAACTGAAAGGTTGCAGCTTTGGGTCTACCCAGAGGCACCTTGAAGACAGACATGGTGATCGAATTCTGAAAAATCAGCCACCAAAAAACCCTGTGGAGCACAGTCCCACTCTGACACACAGCAGTCACCGTAACTCAGAATACACTCCAAAGTAACTCCAGCAAAGAGATAGGTTCTGAAATTAGTCTTCCTTGTACTAATGTGCATATTTGCCACCTATTTGTGGCAAGTGATCCCGTTTTATTGTTAAGGTAGGGTTATGGATTGAATTGTGTTCCCCCAAAAGGCATGTTGAAGTGTTGACTGTGGGTACCTGTGAATGTGACTTTGTTCGGGATTGGCGTCTTTGAAGATACTATCAATTCACATGAGATTACAGTAGAGTAGGATGGGTCCTAATTCAACATACAAAAGGAGAAGAGACACAGACATAGAGAGCAGACAGCCATGTGACAACGGAGGCAGAGACTGGAGCGATGTGGCCACAAGCCAGGAATCGCCAAGGATCCCCAGAAACCACCAGAAGCTAAAAAGAGACAAGGAAGGATCCTCCCCTTGAGCTTTCAGAGAGATCATGGCCCTGCTGACACCTTGCACTTGGACTTCCAGCCTTCAAAACTATGAGATAATAAATAAGTGAGAATCCACTCAACGGGTGACACTTGGTTATGGCAGCCCTAGGAAACCAGAAGGCTGGTGGTTCAAACCCACCAGCCACACCTCGGAAGGAAGATTGGGCAACCTACTTCCATAGACGTACTGCCTCGGAAACCCAAGGAGGGGTCGTTATGAGGCGAATCGACTCGACCGCAGTGAGTTTTAGTTTTAGGAAACCAGGGTCAGAGGGAAAGGCGAAGGCCCTCAGTGAGATGGACTGCCCCAGTGGCTGCAATGATGGGCTCAAGCACAGCAAGGATTGTGAGGATGGCACAGGACTAGGTAGTGTTTTGTTCTGTTGTACATGGGGTCATTGTGAGTCGGAATCAACTAACAACAACAATAGGAAATGACAGGTAGAATATACAGATAGGATTGTTGTTGTTGTTATGTGCCGTCGAGTCGGACTCAACTCATAGCCACCCCTCCTTGGGTTTCCGAGGCAGTATCACTACAGAAGTAGATTGCCCAACCTTCCTTCCGAGGAGTGGCTGGTGGGTTTGAACCACCAGCCTTCTGGTTAGCAGTCAAGTGCCTTAGCCACTATGCTACTAGAGCTCCTACAGATAGGATAGATTTAAAAAATAAATTTTTCTTAGGTTAATAAGATTAATACATTTTATAATAAATTCTCTTAGGTTAAAAATGATTGTTTAGAGAACATGGTAGTTCATTTTGTTTATGACCCCTGAGACTGTGGCCCCTAGTTACCCTTCAGGTCTGGAAATGAATTCACTTCCACGGCTTCCAGCCAAATAACAGACAGACATAGAGGGTGAACATTTCCATCAGGTAGATACACTCCTTAGCACAACCAATCATGGGAGAACAGAAGGGCAATATTTGCACAAGGCAATAGCTCAGGGGGTGGGAGTGCATGGGAGGGAAGGACATAGAGAAGAGGTAACTCCAGGGAGGAAGTGGGAAGAGAGCTGTTACACTGTGGGGAATTGCAGTCAATGTCATGAAACAAGATGTGTATGAACTGCTGTGTGGAAAATGAATTTGCTCTGTAAACTACACCCACACCACAATAAAAATTAAAAAAAAAAAAACAGTAGTAGCACATACCGGTTACCTGATTTATATATACAAAGGCACCAGTGGGGGAAACATGGTTTTTTCTTTTTTTTTTTCAAAATAGGCCCAAGAGCAAATTGAATATTCATGTGAGAAAAAACCTCTATCTCATACTACTTACAGAAATTAATCCAAAGCTTAAATTTGAAAGGAGTTCCTGGATGTTCTGAAAGGGTCAGGGCTCGGCTGCTAACTGAAAGGTTGGCGGTTCAAGTCCACCCAGGGGTGGCTCAGAAAAAAGGTCTGGTGATCTCCTTCTCTAAATTCAGCCACTGAAAACCAGAGGGAGCACAGTGCTATCCCAACACACATGGGCTGCAGGGAGTTGCTGTGGACTCTGTGGCAACTGGTTTTTAAGGTGGAAAGAAAAACAATCAAGCTTCTAGAAAAAAAACAGCAAGGAATATCTTCCTGACTTCAAACAGGACACAGAAAGCACCAAGCATCTAAGGAGAAAAGGAGCAGAGACAACATTGAAATACAGAAATGGGGGGTGGGGAGCAGAAGAACAAAGAAAACCAAAGACACATGGAAACAATTGGCCTAAGGGACTGGTACATCATGCGATCTTCAGCCTATATGACTATGAGACCAGAAGAACTAGATGGTGCCTGGCTACCACTGTCGACCACTCAGAGGGGAATCAGTGCAGGAGATCCTGGATAGAGAGGGAGAACAATGTGGAACAAAACTCAAAATCATAAAAAGAGAAAAAAAGACCAGGTTTGCTGGGCTGATGGAGCCTGGTGAGACCCCTGAGACTATGTTCCCTAAATGAGTGAACTCACTCTTGTAGCTTCCAGCCAAAGAATAGGCAGGGATAGGGGGTGAACATTTACATCTGGCAGATACACTCCTTGGAGTGATCAATCGTGGGAGAACACAAGGGCTGTGTGTGCACAGGGAGACAGCTCAGGGGGCAGGAGTGCATGGGAGGGAAGAACACAGGGAAGAGGTAACTATGGGGAGGAAGTGGGAAGACACCTGTCATATTGTGGAAAATTGCAGTCAATGTCATGAGACAAAATGTGTATGAACTGCTGTATGGAAGATTAATTTGCTCTGTAAATTTTCACCCAAATCACAATAAAAACTTAAAAAAAAAAAGAAAGAAAAAATGGCGGGGTGGGGAGTGAGGAAATGAGAAAATAGCTCCCAGGCCACCCCTCTACCCATTTGATAGATGGTATCCAGAGAAGCGCAGGGTGTGTCCAAAATCAGAGAAAGCGTGCAACAGAGCTGGGACTCCAACCAGGGGAGCTCGGAGGCATTCAAGGAGACCAACAGCTCTTGCCCTAGACTTGGCTCTGACTCCCGGCAACCCCACGTGTGTATGTAGAACTGCTCTTTACAGAAGGGCACCAGGCCTTTCTTCCAGGGTACCTACCACTGGGCGGGGTCAAATTGCCAACCTTCAGTGAGTGTTGTTGTGCGCCATCAGTTGATTCTGACTGACAGCAACCCTAAAGGACAGAGTGGAACTGCTCCATAGGGGCTCCTAGGCTGTAACCTTTATGGGAGCCGATCATCAAGTCTTTCTCCACAGAGCTGCTGATGGGTTTGAACCACTGACCTTTTGATTATCAGCTGATTACCACTGCACCACCAGGGATAGTCAGGCACAAACCATCTATGCCACCCAGGGATCTGGAAGGCCTTGAGGCTAGTCCAATTCCATGTGCCCATTTGGAACTGCCTAAAGTCCCCAGTTCACCCACGAGAAGCCCCAATCCCAGCCCTGTCCTTCCCACCCCACCCTGTAGGCCTACCTGGGTCAGATGTTGCTCAGAAGCAAAGCCAAGGCCGTAGACAGTGTTGGCACGACTGTCTGCCCACTGCCCAAACTTCTGGGAGGTTTTGGTGAAGGTCATGTTGGGGGTGACAGTGCTGTTGATGATGGCCTGAGGGGTAAAACTCAATGAACATGAAACTCTCTGAGCATCAATTTGGAGGAGGGCTCAGAGGCCTCGTTCAGAGTCATTTCAGGAGGGAGAGACTACAGCTCAGGAAGGTGCAAATCACCCCTGGCCAGGGGCACACAGCAGGGACCCCCAGCGCCCCCTACCCCTGTGGCCCCCCGCACCTTGGCGCCTCCAATGCTGATGATGCGGTAGACATTGCGGGTGGCATCGTAGAAGTAGGAGACGGTGAGGGCGTGCTTGCCCGCGGGGATCCAGTTCCGCTTGGTGGTCGGGTCAATCTGGAACACGTGTGCTCGTGTGCTGAAGATAGGCTGCTCCCTGGGTGGGACAGGGTGCTCAGGGACGGGTGGGCAGTGCTGCCAGGGGCAAGGCCAGGGCAGGACAGGGCAGGGAGGGGATGCTCACCTGGCTGTGGACATTGGTCAGGCTGGGCTGGGCGGGCTCCAAGGGGCAGCCAGAGGGGGGCAGGAACTGCTGGTTCAAAATGTTAAGTGCTGGACTGCTAATCGAAAGGTTGGCAGTTCAAACCTACCTAGAGGTGCCTCGGGAGTCCTGGCTATCTACTTCCAAAAGGTTGCAGCTTTGAAAACCCTGTAGAGCAGGGTTTTCCCTGCATACATGGGGTCACCATGAGTCGGAATCAACTCTGCGTAACTAACAGCATCACCACCACCGTATGGGGGGATCCTCTCTAGAGGAAATTAGATACAGGCTCTGAGGGTCCTGTGGAGTGAAGCAGGTCTCTTAGCATCCCTGGCATCCCAACATAAACGCCTTCACCATCCTGGTCATTGGAGCTTTCCTGTGAACCCCCACAATCCCAAGCTAAGAGAACACTACTTTCTTCTAGATCCACCTAGCCCACCACACACCAGGGCTAGGAAGTAAAACTGGGGCATGCCCACAGGTTGACTGGACCCAGGAAGGACCTCCAGCTCTGACCCTGGGACAGAGGCACCCCTAGGAGTCAGGGTCCAAACCCCCAGGGAGCCCCAGCATGGTTAGAAGGATAAGATGTAGCCACACAGGTCCACCCTGGGGACAGTGTGGACTCCAGATAGGGGCCACGGCTGTCCCCAGCCTGTCCGTTGGTTCCTCTAGCCACCACCCTACAGAAGCCAGGACCAGCTGCTTGGAAGACTTCCTGACTCTCCCCCTGCACATCCAAACCTGCATCCACTGGGTCTTAGGGGACCCAGGAAGGGTCAAGGTGGGGGAGGTAAGGGGAGAAGGGTGCCTGGCCCAGCAGCCTCTGTGGTCAGAGGGGGGTGCCCCTCCACCAGGCCTGGGCAGCTGCTGTCCCGGTCACAGGTCTGAAACCCGAGCTCCTGGGCTGGGGGAGGGGTGATCGCTCTGGTCCGGGCTGGGGGCAAGTCCTGGGCCAAGCCGAAGTGAGTGGGGGGGACACGGAGGTCCCCAGAACTCAAACCCTTCAGTCCGGCAGCTCCTGCCAGGACTTGCAGCGTTCAGGCAAAGTTACTCATTCCGAGTCATGCGCTTCGGACGCCGCCCGCCTGCGTGGGGCTCCAAGAGGCGCCTGACCCAGCCTGATGCCCAAAGACCCCCAATCCCGCTGAGGGCAATTCCCCACCCCGCGCGCCCCAGTCCAGGGGACCTGATATTCAGCCAGAACCGGAGTCCCCACTTGCGCCAGGAGTGGGGCGCCCTGTGTGAGCCCCAACTTCGGAACGCATGGACCCTGGAACTTCGGGGATCCCCTGGACTATCCCGCTATTCCAAGTTCAGAACTTCGGAGACCTCCGCCAGTCGGTGACCCTGAGTCCGGAACTTCAGGGACCCCCGCGCCGCCCCCTTGATTTCGAGTCCGGAACTTCGGGGACCACAGCATTGCAACCCTCGACCTGGGTCCGGAATGTCGCAGCCCCCTTCGTCACCCCTCGACCTTGGAATCTGGGATCCCCTTTCGCCACCCCTCGAGCTCGGACTTTGGAGACACCCTGTGCCGCCTCTGACCCCGGAACTTCAGGGTCCTGCGCCCCACCCCCAGTCGGTCGCGCGGGGCTCACCCTGCCGGGTCGGCCGCTAGTGTCCGGGCGCGAGTCGGGTGCGGCCCCGCGGCGCCA